TTTTGAGAAACATGTCAAAGTAAGGTACAGAGCAGAGGGCTCATGATGCCAATGCCTGGGAATAACCCGTGCCCTGCCAGCCCCGAGCACTCTGGGGACTGTGGTACCCCACGGTCACTGGGTGCTGGGTGAACACTGGGTGAAGCCACCAGCACCCACCATGTCCCTTTGCTGTGACCTCCCTGGAGAGCCTCAGGGCTGGCACCCAGCCGAGTCCTGCTGCCAGCGCCGGGGTGGAGCAGTGGGTGCCCAGAGCTGGAGCTGGCTCCCCTTTGCATATTCCATCTCTCTGTGGGTCTGTCCCCTCCACATCACACCTGACACGTGCTGTTGGTTGACTCCAAATGGAAAATCCACCCCAGGGAAGCAGCTGGCTGTCCCTGCTCTGTCTCACGGGAGAGTTGGAGGGAAAAAGCAAGTGATAAGGGGATGGTGAGCCGAGGTGACAACAGTTTTAATACAGTTTAATAACCCAAACCTGCTTTTTCTGTATTTCCTCCTCAGTTTCCAGTCCCTCTGCCCAAGTGAAGAAAGGAACAGCGTTGGAAGTCGGATGATTTCAGATGTGAGTTGTCACTATCCCAGCCAGGTCATGGATGTACTCACAGAAGGCTTTGAGGCTTTGTCATCAACTCTGTCCCTTCCCAAGCCTCCCAAACGTGGCTGTGAGGCCCTGGGCTGGCTGCTCCTCCTCTGGCATGAGCACACATGGCTTTGGGCACCAGGAGCACACGGGAGAGGCTCGGAGCTCTCCTGGCTGAGCTGCCCCTGATCCTGCAGGAAGGCTGGGGCTGAAATCCTGCACGTCCCCTCAGGTCACAGTGAACGGGGCCAGGGGGAAGGGTCTGCACCAGGCTGGGGTCCCAGCACCTCCTCTGCATTTTTTGGGCGCTGCAGAACATTCCCTTGTTGGATATCAAGACTTCCAGTGATCAGAACTTCAACACCAAGCCATCATGTCGATGCAGGAATTTGGCTGCAGTTCGTGGCTGGTTTAGGGGTGTAGGGATGGAAGGAAAAGGTTCATCTGCAGGGTTTGATCTGGCTGGCAGTACACCAGTAATTCCAGATGCTCGCCTGTCACATTTGTGAGTAAAATCAAATCAGGCTGGTGTCAATAAATAAATGGGGTTTGTGGTATTAGCAATATTTATTTATTTTTTAAAAAATCTGCCAAGAAGCAAAATGAATGCTGATTTCTGTGGTATTTTACTCTCTGGACATTTAAAGCCAGTTTCAGGCTTTGTTTGCATCTCTGCTTTTTTTTTTTAGAGCTTAGAAATCCGCAAGGAAAACATAAAATCCACTACTCTGACAAGCCTAAGGATTTGCAAAGGAATACAGAAAGCATGTCATTAGCTTTGGGAAGCTGCCCCACACTTCAGTTTGTCCTCTGCTCAAGGTATTTGTGCAGCAAATTATTAAGAATCTGATGCCCATTGCATTGGCAACTTTCATCCCTAATTTTTCACAGTTTTTGTGAAAAGGTGAAAATGAATGTAAATTCTTTGCATATCTTTACTTGAATCAAAATATGACAAATCACCTGGTTTTGCTTGGGGTCACTCTGTCGTTTCTTTACATCACGGAAAAAGCGAAATAAGTACAAACTGTGTTCCATGATGGGGTGGGGGAGCAGCTCTTCCCCCTTGAGCTAATCTGCTAATTCTGCTCAGCTCGAGGCAACCCTCCTGACTGAGCACGGGGTAAAAATCCCAAATCAGCTGCAGTCAGGTTTGCTCCTTTGGGCCAGGATAAACTTTCCAGAGTGGCTGTGCAGCTCGGGAGGGCTGTGGTGGCCTCAGCACCCGCAGCACCCATGGCCCAGAGCTGGGTGCAGCAGTGGCTGCTCCATCCCTGCCCCACCTGCCCTCCACACAGGTGAGGTCCTGCAGGGTCACTGTCCCTCTTACCCCTGCAGGGGAAGGGTGTTGCTGTTTCCTGCACCACCAGTGGTTAAAACCAGAGCTTCTGAGCACCTTTGCATCACATGTGTGACATTCTGGGTTACGGTGGGCAGAGAAATTTCCATTTGTTTAATTTTGTGAATGAAGCCCACTGGTTGCCTGTGGGTCCCCTGGCAGGGATGGAGCTGAGGGAAGTAACTTGAGTGTTACCTTAGGCCAGCAGAGGGGTCTTTGGTAATTCTGCCTAAATTCATCTGCAGGACCAACCTTCTGGGTTAAGCAACCTGAAAATAAGAAGACAATTCATGGAAGATTTCCTAGAAACATTTTAGTGTGTGTTTGCTTAAATCCCATGGAGAGGCTGCCTGAGGGGTGGCAGTTCGTGGTCAGAGCAGGAGGGATCCCAGGCTTGGCTCTGCTTCTCCCAGGTCAGCCCTGGCTGAGATTCATCTTTCAGGTCCTTGATGCCATGGAGAGCACTTAGTCCTAAACCAGGCCCACAGTCCCCTCCCAGTGGGGAGCTGCAGTTCAGCACTGCTGAATTTCATGGAAATTGGTACTTTTGGCTCCTGGAAGCAGCTCTGCTCCTCCCGCTGCTGGAGCCTGTGGACGTGGTTGCTTCCATGCTTCTCTGCAGGAGAGAGTGAGCTGTGCAGGAAGAGCAGAGAGAGCTGAGGACCTGGAGATCACGGTGTCAGGAGATCACGGTGTCACCCTGGGCTGGGCTGGCACGGGGACTGTGGGTGCTGTCACACGGAGGTGCAGAAGGTCCTGTGAGTGCCACGCTGTGCCCTCCCTGGCCTAGAGCTTGGGCACATTTCAGGCTCACCTTCCCCTTGCCAGCTGGCTGCCCTGGATCTGCTGAGGAACGAGTGTCACCTTCTGCCACCACGCTCCCACGTGGCTGTCCCGCTCCGGGTGGCTGCGGCCAGCACAGCCGCGAGCTGAGGGCCACCGCCAGCTGCGCCAGGGCAGGCACAGCCTCGACCACCCTGGTGCTCCCCAGGTGCCTCTCCCTTTCCTGGACAGTGTATCCAAAATGTGCTGCGTGTGTCGGTGTGGAGCAGGTGCTCACACCTGACCGAGTGTTCCTGTTTATTGCCGTGCTGATGGAGCCACGCTCGGGGCTCCTCCTCACCCGCTCGGGGTTGGCTCGGTTCTGCTTCACCTCCGCGTGTTTGCAGCGTGTAAACATCAGACTCCTGGGTGGTGGTTGGACTCCACGAGGCCTGGAGGATCGAAGCATTAAAAAAAAAAAGGAATGAAAAGTAACAAAACAAACGCAAAAAGCCCCAAGACCCGCGTTACTGTCCGTGCTTGGAAGTTCTGGCTCCTCTGCGGTGATGGATGCAGCTGGGTTGCAAAGGCCTTGTTCTTGAAATGAACAAACCAGGTGGGTTTTTTCTTTTCTTTTTTTTTTTTTTTCTCATTTTTTAATCCATCCTTCCCTAGTTAAAGGTGCATCCAGCCGTGTCTGCCGCAATTCCTTCCCTCCCACCCCCCCACTGCCATTCCCTAGGGAAACACAGGTGCCAATCCGGTGTTGCAGGTCATGTTGTCCTTGCCGGGCAGCCGTCGGTCGTTGAAGGTGTGCATGTTGATCACGGCGTCCGTCTTCACCATCACGGGGGGCTGGGGCTTGTGCTTGACCCGGCGCTGGCAGGTGAGCGACAGCCGGATCTCGTCGGCCATGGCGCTGCAGAAGGAGCGCTGGGGACAGCGGGGATGAGGCCTTAGCATTTCAGCTCTTATATTTCTCATTTATCTGTAATCCTGCAGTTTGTTAGTGTGTTAAGCTCCATAGCCTGTCAGCCACTGTTCTCCTGTTTTATTCAGTTAAAACAATTCCTCTCTAGACTTGGGAATCAAGGGCACCTCACTGTCTGAGGTCCCAAAAAATATAAACAAAAGTGAGTTGGGAGGGAGCAAACTTTAGTAAATGACTTCATTACCTGAAGCTGTAATTGGGGGATTAACCCCTGATATGTAAATGGACCAAGCTTATATTTGCCTGAAAAACTCATGGCCACTGTCCATCTTGTGTGTGTAGCCCCTTGGAGGCTTCTGAGTGCCCAAGGTGTATCTGTTGAAGGCCTTCTATAAATCCCCACTTTTATTCTCCTGATCTTGCCTAGCCTGTGTTCTAGGGAGCCACTCCAAGGCATCAGGGGACAAAACACTCCATTACTGCTGCAGTGTTCTGCTACCCTGGGTGGAGCAGGGGCTGGCAGGGCTCAGTGGAGGGTGAGGACAAGGTTTAGGGCTGTTCAGGCATTTGCTGTGCTCTCTGGGGCTGTGTGGGCACCTGGCTGACCCCTCTCCCTCAGCAAGGACTGTGCCTGTGACACGCTCACTCCTGCACAAAGGCAGAGCTGGAGGCAGCTGCCGGAGGTCTGGTGCTGTGTGATTCCTGCCAGGGGCTCAGACAAGTCTGACCCTCCCGCTGCTGGGCAGCTTTCCTTTCTCTGTCTAGTCCTTCATGAGGGCAGCTCGCTTTGATTTCTGGTCATGCACAAAAGTGCACGTTCCACTTACTGCACCAGGACACCCACGGCAGAGGAAGGACATAAAAGCAGTTCTGTTGTTTCCTGAACACTGATCAGCCACTGATGGGCTGCGTCTGTGAGTGTGGCAGAGTTGATAAGACAGTGTGAGGCTTCCTGATGAGCCCTGACTTGTTCCTCTTTGAATGGGGCTGGGGAGAAGGCATGGATGGTCATACCTGGAACGTGCAAGGTGATTTCAACAGGATGTAACAGCTGAGAAAGGCCCCTCCTAGGGAGTTTTGTCTATACGTTAATGATTTATTTGTCAGCTTGTTCTAAACTACCCTACCAATGTACCCTGCTGTGGCTGCTGCAGACAACTCTGATCAGACGTGACTTTCCCCCGAGTGGAGGCTGTCAGAGGGACACCAGTGAGCCCCTGGGGATGGCACTTTAGGGGTGCCAGCTGGATCCCTCTGCCCCCTCCCTGCTTGTCTCTGGGGTCAGCGTGCAAAGCCCTCCAGGGCTGGGCTAAGGGCAGGCAGAGAATCAGAGGGAGTCAGTCAGTACCTGCTCGCGCTCCGCCGTTTTGCGCAGCTTGTAGATGAACTCCACCATGGCCACGAAGACGGACAGCACCAGGCCTGCTGCCAGGACAATGAAGATCCCCCCGATGTTCTGGATGCCCAGAGCACTGGCCTCCTTGTTCTCATCCTCAGGGCAGCCGTTCCCCCGCCACCACTTCTCCTTCATGACGTGGAGCTTGTCCTCCTCCTGGAGCTGCAGGATGGCGATGGTGATCTTGTCCCTGTACGGTGACCCTGGGGGTGGGGACACTGTTACACACAGAGGGAAAGTGGGGGAAAAATCCCACCAAGCAGGGAAGGTGTCTATGGTAAGCAGCACGGTTCAGACCTCTCTTCAACAGGCAGACAGTTTGGTATTTGGAAATTCGCTGCTGGGAGTGGATTATCTTAATCACCTCTTTGTTTTTGTGGTGAGCAGCCCCCCAGGACTGTCACTTACCCATGGGTGTCCCGATGCCGTAGCCTTTGGTGTCGATGAGCCCCCCGATCTGGGTGAGGTTGCAGTTCCTCTGGGTGATGTACTCGATGGTGGTGGACTCCATCAGCAGTGCGTAATCGGCCGTCAGCGTTCGCTGGATCCCCTCCTCGTTGTTCTTAACCAGTGCCGTGGGTTTGCTGCTCATGAAAGCCCACATTTTTTCAAACGTGGAGATTTTGGATTTCTGGAAGAATGATACCCACCCCAGCCCCAAAAGAAGATGAATTCTCTATTTGCTGAAAGCTGCTATATTTTCAGTAAATGACAATAATAATAATAGTTGAGAACAGATCACACAATGAAGCAACCATGAATTAGACTTTGTCTTAAATGCCTTCACTGCTCAAGATTGTTTGGATTTATGTTGCCAGCATTCACTGGATCCCCTCCTCGTTGTTCTTAACCAGTGCTGTGGGTTTGCTGCTCATGAAAGCCCACATTTTTTCAAACGTGGAGATTTTGGATTTCTGGAAAAATGACACCCCTTCAGCCCCAAAATAAAATTAATTCTCTATTTGCTGAAAGCTGCTATCTTTTCAGTAAATGACAATAATAATAATAGTTGAGAACAGATCACACAATGAAGCAACCATGAATTAGACTTTGTCTTAAATGCCTTCACTGCTCAAGATTGTTTGTATTTATGTTGCCTTAAAGAGAGACAAGGGTTGCAGCAAACACCCCTCTGTCCATGTGCTTCAGGTCCTGAGGTAGAATGAACCTGCCCAAAGCCCTGCAGGCCCCCTCGACTCCCAGACCATTTTAAGATCTGCTCAAATGTGTTCACTTCCCAACCAGGATTTGTTTACCTTGTAATGTTTCTGCATGCTGAAAGAACAGAGAGTTTTGGAGGACATGGTTTTCTCTACACACACTCTATGATATTTTTGTCTTTCCTCAAGCATGGCAAGGAAACGAGTCTCCTCTGAGATATGTGCAACTGCCAAACAGATTTAACGTACCCACGTAAACAGAAGCACAGAGATATTCAAGAAGATTGTCTTACGGCTAAAAATAAACATGGATATTCTCTCACTATCAGCAGACATTCTGTTGCAAAGGAAGGAATATGTTTTCTAGCTTGCTATTCATGTGAATGTTTTTTTTTTTCTTCTAGAAAATGTGTTGAGTGAGAAGAAATATGGTTATTTTACGTCTTGCCATAACATTTGAAAAGTACCATTTATCTACGAGCACCTTCTGAGTCGTCTCTGTCAGTCATAACGAAAGTCACAGAATCTCAAAATCCCAGAATGGTTTGGGTTGGGAAAGACCTTGAAGCTCATGCTGTGCCCCCTGCCCCACCATGGGCAGGGACCCTTCCACTAGACCAGACTGCTGGTCAGAACTGGCTTTAATTTAGGAAGATTTCCCAGACAAGCAGAGCAGTGTCTTCTTGCCCCATTGCTGGTCCCAGTGCTCCCGTGGGTCAGTGCTTCTCCCTCAGACCCACCCTGGCACAACACCTGGATATTGAGGCTGGTGTTCCCACTGCTGCCAGCTCCTTTATGCACCGATCTTCTTTCCTGCCCCATTTCTTGTTTTTCCTACATCTGTTTTTGCCTTCTTATTTCATAAGAAGCAGCTTAGCCAGCCAAACCTCTTCCTCCAGTGTGCTCCTCAGCGAGCCTGGAGCTGGCTGATAAGTCAGAGAGCAGATAAGTCCCTGTGCTGTGTCAGGAACAAGGGTGGCCTCTCAGCAGCTGCTGCACGAGGAGCCGCTGCCGCAGAGCTGTGATTTCAGCCCTCGTTTATCTCTCCACAGGTCTCTGTCCTTCCATGAGAAAGCAGGAGATGGAGCCCAAGCCCAGCCCAACTGCTGCTGCCACAGCTCCCCATCATTTTTTCAGTATCACCCACAACGTGCCAGCTTAGGTTCTTCTGATAAAACCATAATAAATAATGGTGAGCTAGCTGAAAGTCCCTTGTAATTCTTCGTATTCCAAATGCTTTGCCCATCCACCTCCTTTATTCCAGCGTGTTTAGCAAAAGTTAAACAAAAGCTCATCCCCCCAAAGCTGGGTAGTGCAGTGCTGTTCAAACAAAGGCTGTTCCTCTGCCTTTAACCCTGTGGGCCCTTTCTCCCTTCTGAAATACCCGGGGATTCATTTCTTCTCCATTAATGCTCGTGCTCGTTATAATCCACTTGATGAATGCTCAGCAGTGGATGTGCTGGAGCAAACTTCATTCAAGAGGCAGGATAATCTCCCTCACTTGAAAATCTGGACCAGTGCCTGTAAGGTAGATTTGTGGCATCTATCAAACCTCAAAGAGCAGCAAGAAATGTAGCCTCCAAAAGGATTATTAAATATCTGTACATTACAATGGGTAATTGAAATGAATCGTGCGCTCAGCTGGCTGATAAGGACTTGTTTAACATTTATATAGTTCACATCAGAGGCCTCTGGGTTCCTTTGGCTCTCCCTCTCTCCTCTTTCTGCATTTAATGCTCCTTGAGTGTTGACACAGAGCTTTTAACATCAGTGTTCTCCCAGTTTAGAGCACAGAGCAAAATAAACTGGCAAAAAATCAATAGGCTGCATTTAGTGAAGCAAATGGGACTTGCATGAGGCACTGGACCTCTTCAGGCAACTGAAATTACACGAGACGGGGCTCCTTGGAAAAGAAAAACCACTTTTCTCTTCTTCTCTTAAATCACTCCTCCTGCCCAGCTTGAAAGGACTTAATTGTGTTTGGGATGCCAGGAAGAGCCCAGATTTGTCAGTTCTGGATGTGCTGCTTTGACACTGCTCCTGCCCTGCCAGGGGTTGAGCACTCCTCCAGCTGGGGCACAGCTGGGAAAGGGCTGGCCAGGAGGATGGGGCTGCTGTCACTGTCCACCTGTGCCTAAAGAGAGCTGGGACAGAGATCCAGCTCAGGGCTCAGACCTCAGAGATCCAGCTCAGGGCTGAGACCTCAGAAATCCAGCTCAGGGCTGAGACCCAGCAGGGAAGGGGAGCTGGGGGATCCCTCCGGGAGGAAGGGCAGGGCACTGGTGCAGCCAGGGCAGCTCACACCCAGCCCTGGTCTGGTCAGCTCTAAAAGCTGATGAGAAAACTATTTTCCAAAGGAAAATTCCCCAGCTGTAATTTCCAGCACAGCCCTCACAGGCTGATGGTTTAGTACAGACCCAGAAGCAGCCATGAGAGAGATGTTGGGCATCAATCCCAAATTGCAGGAGCAGCGAGGGCAGGAGTGCCCCTGCTCCAGCTCACACCCAATTGAGCCACAGAATATGTTTTGTAGTTGAAGGAAAAGTTCATTTCTCCCCTTCCTCCTCTCAAATACTGTGGCCAAACTGCAAAAGCATTGCTTATTAATGGGAATTTGGGTGTTGTCAGCCAGGACTGCACTAAAGAAATAAGCAAAACCATCTTGGTAGTAATTTAGTAATAAAGAATGCCTTAAATTGCATTTATTTTGATCATGTTTTTAATGCTTTCTTTATTTGTGTGTACATATTATTTTTCTGGACCCCTGATTTTACCAGAGTTTCACTTTAAAAACTGGGCTTACTTAGTGGACTGATCTGGTAGCTGCTGTGCTGTGGCTGGGTGCTAATTTCTTCTCAAGAGATTCACCATTTACTTTTATGGGCTTCTTAAAAGAAGCACAGCTCAGTTGGCTGTGGGTAGAGGGACCCTTCTGTGCCCCCACATCCTCTGGAGTCCCCTTCAGTGACGACTTTGCTGCCAAAGGCAGATGAGGAGGAGCTGCTTGGGTGCTCTGAAGCATTAAGATAAATGATCTGACACTGGCTTCTTCCTGGCAGAGAAGTTCCTGTGTCAGGAGCCCCGAGATGTTGGGAATGATGGAGATATTGCTAATTACCAAGGGCTGGTGCTGCAGCCGTGGCTCCCACGGCGGGGTCGAGTCTCACTCCTGCTCACACGAGTGGAGCTTCTCCTTGATTTATTCAGGATAAATAACACCAGAATCTGATCTGCTGTGCTCTGCATCTTAATCAGCCCGTGTTAGTGCTAAATGAGATGTGTGTGTGAAAGCAGAGTGCCAGCCCCTCCGAAGGCAGCGATCGCAGCGGCGCCGAGAACGCCTCCGAGTTCATTCTTCAGAGTCACAGCTCAGAAGCCACCTTTAATAAGCAGTTCTGCAGGGCCAGTCACCCAAATCAATTAATGGAATCGTTTAGAGAAGCCCCTACGAGGCATCTTGCCAAGACATATACGCTTTTTTATCAGCCAAATTGGCAAGAAAGGAACTTTCAGGCTTAAGATTTTCAATTCCAGCCTGTATGAAAAAATAAATTGATTTCCACCAGCTGAAGATACTTAGTCTTGAGGATTTAACATTTCTGTGTGGGTATCTGTGTACACACATACACACACACTCACAGCCAGACTCCAAACTGCACATGAGACCTGGCCTTCCATTCAGAGAGGCAGCATCCTCTGAAGGATGGGAAGGATTTATGAGTTATAATGAACTCTAGATGCTGTTCCTCAATTAATTGATCCATGTTTATTCCTGTAACTCAATCTGCATTGCCAGGGAGTAAACAGCTTCTCAAAACTTCTTTTAATGAAGTCAAAATGTGCCAATATGGTTGGGTAAAGCTCTTTCTTCTTCCCTCTCTTGGCTTGCTTGGCTGCATGGGGCCAAATTCTGTGGGAGCAGCATCCCTCGCTGTGAGGCTGTCCCAGAGGTGTCTTGGTTCCATTGGGACCTTCTGCAGTGTCCCTGGTGAGCTCTGCACAAGCCTGAGCACAGGTCAGTGCTTTGGGAACCATCTCATGGAACAGCATGCAAGGTGTCCACCTTCCTCTTCCTCCCGTTGTGCACCAAGATCAGGGTGGTGCTCTCCCCCGGGATCCAGCGTGGACCAGGATGGGCTCTGACAGAGGGGCTGCAGGGCCCAGGGGTGCTCAGGGTGGTGTGTGCAGCTTGCAGCTGATTTAACAGGGAGAAATGAAGGAGCGAGACCCTGCTGTGAGGGGAAGGAATTTGGGGAGCAGCCACACAAAGAGCCAGGCAGAAATCTGGGCCAAATATAGCTAAATATACTAAATATATAGGTAATCCACTGAGCAGGTGAGATCCTCATTGGTGTGCTGCCATCAGCTTTTTGTCCCAGCAGTGACAGTGTGTTCAGAGCTGCTGGAGTGCTCTGGATGTGCAGGAGTGCTTCAGGAGCCCTGGATGGTGGAGGCTGTCTCTGCTGGAGAGGGCAGAGGGAGGGAGGGAAGCCAGGTGCTGTTCTTGCAGTGCCACCCATCTGAGGGAGGGTGGATCCTCAGCTGACACCTGGAGCTCCGTGCTGTGACACAGGGCACTGACAGAGCAGCTGAACCAACACCACCACAGGAATTACCCAGCTGAGAACAAAGACCTTGTTGGAAAAGGGAGAAACCCCTTCTCTCCCATGTCCCTCTGCACAGGGAGGACAAGTGAGCAGAGCATCCCACGTGGGAGCTCCCACTGCTCCAGTAATGGAAATGCTTGTCAGGAGGGACATCCCTGAGAATTCATCTCCATACAACAGCGATAATAAAAAGGAAAAGGAAAATACGCTGCATCAATAAACCATGCCAAGGCCGTTAGAAGCCTGAAGTATGATTCTGATGGATAATGATATGAAGCAATAAATATGCTGTGTCCTGATGATTGTTAAAAGAGACAGTTTCCTTTTATTCCCATATAAAACTCGTACTGGAAAGCGCAGTTAAAGCACACAGTTCCAGTCTGCCTTTCCCTACTGCCTCTTCCAGGGTTATATGGCTTTGGAAGACAAAACTACACATCTGCCTGTGCCATGGACAGAACTGCACGGACCAGCTCCATGGCAGGAGGCAAACTGGGCATTCCTAAAATTGTTAGAGATCAAACCACCCCCTCTGTGTCTCTTTATGAACCTCTGCTGCTGCCTGTCAGAGTCAGGACACAGATCCAGGGAGGAGAGTGGCTTCTCTCAAGAGATCTTGTTGATCTCTCCCACCAGGCAGCAACTGGCAAAACCAGAGGAAACAGTCTCAAGCTACGTCAGGGAAGGTTTAGGTTGGATATTAGGAAAAAAAATTTCACTGAAAGAATAATAAAATACCGGAATTGTCTTCCTGGGGAGGTGGTGGAATCACCATCTCTGGATATGTTTAAAAAAAGACTGGACTTGGCACTTGGTGCTATAGTCTAGTTGTGGTGTTAGGGCATGGGTTGGACTTGATGATCTTGGAGGTCTCTTCCGACCTCATTATTCTGTGAATCTGTGATTCTGTGATTCTCAGCCAGATCAGAGCCAGGAGAAGTGGCATGGGAACAATGCTCCCTCTATTATTCAGATCCAGCATATTGTTTTCCTTTAATGAGTCTTGCCAATTAAACCACAGAGGCCTCATCAAGCTGCCATCACCCCGTGCCTGCTCAATTCTTGCAGCACCAGGCACAAAGTGCTTGGTAAAGCCTGAACTGTGCTAGTCACATGTATTTTCTTCTGCATTAGGGTGGTGGAGGGGGAAGGAGGCGGAGGTGTGGGGGAGCCAGCTCCCACTCCTGAGCCAAAGCCTGGGATCTTCCTTTGGGCCTCTTTCCTTGCCAGGGTGATAATTCCTTAATCACCCCTCATTTCTATCCCTTTATTCTCTTTCTTTTCAGACTGGGTTTTTACAGGCCAGCAGTGGTTTTAAAGGTCATTTTACATCTCTCAGTTTCTTTCTATTTTTGAGGCTATGGTGGAATCTGACTGACTTCTGAATTTAATTATGCTTTAAATAGATGAAATTAATGCAATTGGATTGTGATGCACTGGTAGTATTACCTTGCCCTGAATCTCAGAGGTTAATAAAACTGGATTACATTGATATGAATACCTGAAGGACAAGAAAGATATTTTAGCTGTAAAAAATACAGGTCAGGGAGGGCACTTTGCAGCATCTGTCCAGCTGTGGGCTTCATTTGGGCTCTCCTCTGTCCCTGAAGGCTGGCAGGATCAGCCTGGGGGCTCCATGGGGCTGTGCTGGCAGAGGCAAGGAAGAAGCAGGATGGGTCAGATGTGGAAACTGGGAAGGGGCTTTAGGGAAAGAAAGGTTTTTCTGCAGGGCTTTAATACGAGCTGCACTTGGGCACATGCTACGTTTTTGGGTGTCTGAGCCAATATTGGGTAGAGCCTGCAAAAATGTAAAATCAGTTTAATTTTGTATCTGTGACTTCAGTTAACTACAGGGAGGGGGATTTAACCTTGGTGGGACTCAGGTGAGTGACAGTCTCAGTCTGGGCAAGATGTGAGACTGAAAGAAGCTGAAAGAAGGAGCAGCAGGGGCGGCTTGGGAGGATTTTTGTCTTTGGATCTTTGTCCTGGCTCCCGTTGGAATCTCTGCCTGGAAGGTAGAAAGCCTCTGCCTGGTCTCACCTTGAAGAAGGTCATGGTAGCTCCATCCTTCACTGCTCCATACTCTATTTTTGTCTGCTTTGCCAAGTCATCTGCCGAGTCGATGGGGGATTCCATCCTCTCCACCGTCAGGAAGGCCGCCAGGTTGGCCGTGTAGGATGAGATGATAATGAGGGTGAAGAACCACCATATGCCACCAATGATCCGTGTCGACAGGGCTTTGGGCATCAGCTCCGAGCCTGGGTGGGACAGGGGAAGGAGGGGAGAGGCAAGAGAGGAAAGAACCCATTTTATGTATCCATACGTGTGACAGGCACATTCTCTGGACAGACAGACAGAATTCTGTCTCCCAGGAGAAGCACAGGGAGGAGAAGAGGAAACAATCTTTATCTCTGCTCCTTTGTTCTCCCCATGTGCAATGTGGTGTGGAGATTGTTCACCTGCAGTGATGGTTGGGTTGGATTCTGGTGAAGTTGTTTGGGGTCAGTGACCAATGGATCCAGCTGGGTTGGACTCTCGGCAGAGTCATGAGTTTGAGTCAATAAGATGGGTAAGTAAGAAGTAAGTATGTAGAATAGGGTAGTCTCTCTTTAAATGTATATTAATAAATATATTTTAATAAAGCTATCCTTCAACCTTCTGATCTGGAGCAGACATCATCATTTCTTCCCGCATCCAGGGTTTGTCGCATTTTCACTATACATATGTACATTTTATATACATACAGATATATATATATATATATATATATGTATATATATGTATATGTGATCAAGTTTCACTGTCAAAACTGTTACAGCTATGCAATTAAAGCCAACTGGTTTTGAGGCAAATTATCCAGACATCTTGAGTTCGAGGACATCAGTAGGGTTTTTGTAGCATTTGCAGAAAAACCCTCTTCCTTGATTACTGACCTTGGGTACAGTGCCCAATTTACAGGAAACATCCAAACTGAAGTAATTAACTGGGCTGCTTTTATGAGATTTAAATAGCAAGCTATTTATGAACTTTTATGAGTGTTTTGTTCTGCCATTTAAAAAGGGCTTTGCTTTTATACAGATTATTTTCAAAAGACTCACTCTGGGGAGTGTGTTCAAATACACAAGGTTTTTAAAAAAATCAAACACCAAGAGAAAGGAACTATCAGGGTCCAGGGCTTTGAATGCCAGTCAGAAGTGGGGAAGCAGGAGACGTTACAGCATAAAAGGTGTAGTGGGTCTGGAATGACTTTTATTGAGCAGACACGAAGGGCTAAATGGGTTGTGCTATTTTTGTAATCACCCAAAACACCTTTTAAAGCCAGGCAAGAGCTTTGGGTTTGAAACAGCTGTGCTCAGAGGATTTATCAGCCTGGAAAGTGCAACAAAAATTGGGCTTTGCAAAGCAATTTTAGGCAGTGTGGCATCAAAGCAGAGCATGGGGTGTAGTTTTCCTCCCTTCAGAGTGCAGCAAGGAGACACCAGGAAGAGGAGGAGTCCCAGATATTGAGGGTGCTTTGGTTCTCCTCAAGATTCTGCTTCTTCCCTCTCCCATCTCCGGCCCTTTGATGCATTGGATGCTGTGACATCAGTCTGGCTTTGAAATATTTTTCTTCTCAGATGCAGAATTGAGTTAAAAAGAATATAGCTCTTTTCATTTATCAGCATCTGATAAGAGGGATGATTCATCCTGCTAAACCCTCTTGCTGGGAACTGTCACTGTCCATGAGGGCAGCTGAGATCCAGGAGGAATCTCTATTACAGGCAGCAGTGGAGCTCAGAGCAGGAGCTCCGTGCCTGCTACTGAGCCAAGGCTGTGCTTCTTTTGCTCTCTGGATATAACCACTGATACACGGTAAATTAAAGTGTGACAAATGTTTGACATTTTCCACTTATTTCTATTCCTGGATTTTCTGCAATTAGATCGCAGCTGAATTTTGTTCCTTATTCAGAGCTGCTCCCAAGCTCCCTCCCCCCGCTGCCTTCTGAACAGATTGATTCTATTCACTGCATCTCTCTATTCCATTCACACACAGGGATGTAATCCTATCCCTATCCCATTTTGGAGGTCCCTGTGACCGTGGTGGCTCACACCAGTGCCACTGATAGCTCTCCCGAGGGGCTGCTGGGCACAGGCTCCCAGGGCAGCTCCTCACCTTTGCCCAGGCTGGAGGAGCTTCAGGACATCTCACACTGCTCAGAACGGCCAGGGGAGGGGAAAAGTGGGGATGGAGCACAGGGCAAGGCACCCTGTGTGCTGGAAAAGTTGATTTAGAACAGAGAGAGAGCCAACTGAACAAAGGGTTCGAATTAACAGAAATAGGAATTTGCAGAGTCTGTGGGATGTGGGGGAATGAAGCAGCTGAGGGAAATAAAGGCAGTGCTCCTCCTTGGAGCTGCAGGGGCCAGGAGGTGCTGGGAGGTTGCATCCAAAACAAATTTTCAATTTAAAAATTGCAAAATTGCTGCCCCTACCTTGCTGCATCAGCGCTCCCATCCCGAACCAGAAGCTGTTCAGGAGGGTGAAGTTGTTCTCCACGATGTCCGAGCCCGGGTTGCAGGGGTGGGCGTCGTACCACTCGTATGGGCTGAACCTGCAGCACACAGGGAAACCAGAGTGTGGAAAAGCCAGTCACTTGGTTTTTAAACATTTTTAAAAGTTTGATATTAAGAAAAATGGTTATAAAAATAGTAACACAATTAGAGTAATAAAATTTAGAGTTAGGACAATTACAAGGCAATAAAAAGCAAAGGATTACGGACATCTGGATGCTCTCGGACACTCAGTCATGACAAACATCCCTTGTGAACAAAGGAATAACCTTAAAAGCAATAGCCTGTTGCATATTCATATATCTCATACATGATGCATAAATTCCTTGCAAATTAAGAACTTTTCTGGTTTTTGTCAACTTCTTCTCCTTAATCCTAGTGAAAAGACGGAGAGAAGGTGGAAGAATGTTTGTCTTTTCTGATAAGGAGGCTGTAACATTTTATGGCCCCCTTCACTGACATCTCTGTGTGAAGACTTCCTTGATTATCTCATCTTATTGCTTGAGCTTGCAACAAATCCTACATGGCAGAGTTTCTATTTTAACATTATGTTCTAACCTAAAACTATATTTAACACACTACTTAAGAGAATTAATACAGCATAACTTTCTAACATTACACATATAATATTCATTGTAACATTTGCGAAAAGCCAATCATAAAATATGCATTTTTCACACAGAGCTTGTCAGGGTGCCTTGGAGTGCCCTAGAACAGAGGTTAGTCAAGATTAAGAGAATAAGAATATTTATTAAAGTATTTATTAAAGGCCTTCAATAGATGCACCCTGGGCAGTCAAAGCCTCCCAGAGACTACACCCAAGCAGGATCACGAATTTTTCTGACAGATCTAAGTTTGGTCCATTTACATGTCAGGAGTTAATCCTCCAATTACAGCTTCAGGTAATGAAGTCAAATATTCCATTTGATCCCCCTGTTTCACTTTTGTTTGTACTTTTCAGGACCTGAGGCTGTAGGGTGTTCTTGGATCTAAGGTCTAGAATGATTGTTTTGTTTGACCAAAATGTGAAGACAGTTAACTAACACTTTATATGGAGTTATGCACTAATGCAGCCCAGGATTTGAAAAATATAAAGGCCAAAATCTTAAGGCATCAGTTAGTTAGGATGTGGCAGGACAAGACTCTAAAGGAACTGGAAAAAAGGAGTCTCAATGCCTGTGGTGCTGCTGTGCAGGGGCTGCTGAGCCTCTGGTGCACAGCTTTATAGAGAAAAAGGCAAATTCAGCCCAAGTCACCCACACAGCTATACATCTGTGTCCTGCATTCTGGAGAGCAGACACCTGGGAAGCCAAGTCCTCCTGAGGTGTCTCAGGTGGCTTCCCCAGAGCCTTTGGTCACTTTGGATCATCTTATCACTACTGTGTCCTACAACAGCACCTGGAGCACGTGATGGTGGGATGGGATGGGATGGGATGGGATGGGATGGGATGGGATGGGATGGGATGGGATGGGATGGGATGGGATGGGATGGGATGGGATGGGATGG